CTCTGATGACACTGAAGTAACAATAATGGCGAGTAAATTCCTTCACCAGCAGCTGCATTAACAGTCTTCATTTATATTATTAATTAAGCTTCACAAAACCCTCGTGAGCATCTCCATTTGACAAATGGACAAACTGAGACACAGAAAGTTAGGTGATTTTTTTTCAAGGTCACAGAGCATGTTTGTGGCAGAACAGAGAAGAGAATCAAGATCCACCTTCCAACCTGGCATTCCTATCCACTAATACAAATATAAAAATTGGCAGTAGGATGCGTTAAGAGTCACGAGACCGTCTCAGCAGCCATGGCACATGCCATCCTTTACTAGGAAGTTAATGGTCATTCTAATGCATGGACCTACGTGCGCGGATGTGCCGTATTACACTGGAGAAAGGAAATCCCAGAAGGTTTAAGCTCTGCGCATCTATCTTATTGAACCATCTCAGGGATCATAAACCTATTTCAATTCATTTTCATCACACACAAAAAACAACTTTTAACTCCTCCATGTGCTACTAAGTTCTAATATTCATAGAATATCATTCATTTCCATACTGCCAAGTCATAAACATATAATTATGTCGTCAGTGTGTGGTGCAGCAAGAGTAGATGAGCACTTAATGAGAAAGCTTTTGTGTATATACACAAACAAAAATTGCCATTCTAACCATCTGTTCCTTCTTCGGATTCCATGGAGTGAATTTATAATGTTGGCAATCTCTTGTTCAATCCCATGGTAACAAATTGGCATGTTTTAGGTAAAAAATTATGATGTCATTTTGTGGTGGTGTGGAAAATTGTGCAAAAAAAATTTTTTTTTTTTTTTAAACAAAATTATTTTCATACAAAGGGCTATTATGTAAAAGAACAATTGTGGATTTGCTTAAATAGATAATTACAAGAGGTTCAAAGATTTAAAGTAGGATATAGGATTTAAGAGTGGTTTTGAGCAGTTTTGGACTATGAAAAATATGTAACATATATAATGAACTATTATAGTCACTGGTGGTAATAAACATATCCCCATAGCAGAAGGCGACTAAAAAACTTACTCAGAATGTCACAAATCATTTTCAGATAACTTCAAGGAAAAAATATTCTGCAACTATTAACTATTTTTGATACTCAGTACACTCATTTATTCTACAGATAACTTTGTGATGAACAGCCATAGTATCTTTGTTAAAAATGACTGACAAATGTAGTAGAGTTTCTAGAGAAAAATACATAATTCTATGGTAAAATTTGGACTATTGTAAATAAAAGTCCATTCAAACAGCATTCCTTGTCTTCATGAATCTCTCCCAGCTCAAACACATGTAATTCAGCATACTATGTTGACTGGAGAGGGGACAGGTCAATGCTGCCCAATCACGACTCTTAACGTGAGTAGCCAAGTCAAGAATTGTGCTCTCAGTATGACGAATTTCGGGGTGCTCTTTAATAACTGCTAATCGTATACCTTGATCTGCCATTGGCATTGTGCTTTCTGCATGAACATTTTTGATTAACTTCTTCCCAATAGGGTACCATCATGGACAACCCAGGCAGAGTTGAGATGTCTCAGGATAGTTGTCTAACAGCTTCCGTTTGAGGGTTGTTAAGGGACAAAGCCAGAAATATTAAATCTGATGACACTGTTCCAATAACCTCGCCCTCTCAGGGCAGCCTAGGAACTTGCCTGACCAGGGGGCTTCTTGAAGAACAATGAAGGCTGGGAAGGGTTTAAAAGGACACACAGAGGGAGAACCAGACAGAGACACTCAGGCACAGACACCCATGGGGGTGTCTGAAGAAGATAATCCTGCCCAGGTTGACATTATGGGATGGTAGTGCTTTAAACAAGATAGACATGCATACAGGTTCTTCCAACTACTAAATAAAAATACTTTGTCTTAAGAAGGCTGTTGGTCAGTATCACAGGTTCAAGAAGGGAGATTAAAAATGTGCCTGAACCCCAGTTGGATCTGCATGGTGATAAGTGTTTGGGGTATCTTCTTGTCTTCTTCTTCGGCTATCGCTTGATGCGAGGATGATGTCTGCCAAGGAGGTTCATTGGTGAGTTTTTAAGTGGCTGAGGAGCCCAATTCTTGCCCTGCAGATTTTGTGTACCTGGGTCCTGGTCTAAGAGTGGAAGAATCATGAGATTCCATCCCAATATAGGTAAGGGCAAGAGACCTAACACCTTGTGCAGCTAGCTCCCATAGTGACAATCAGTGCTTCCTCAGTGCCAAGGTCTCCTACCAATCTTGGTGCTGCGTTTGTTGAATCATGAACCAAACATGGCACTTGTACTTTCCAGGCTACTTGAGCAGGGCTCCTGAAGGAATACAGTAGTTTTGTTAACATGCACCTCTACTAACCTGAAGTCTCCAAGTTTTCCCAACGGGAGCTTGGAAGTGCCTATATTGCAGGCTTTGGTAGTGGCGTGTTGAGGGTGACTGGCTCTCATTCACTGTCTCCTGTGCTCAATAGTTTTGTGGACATGACACCTTTTCCTAGGAGTTGGAGCTCAGTACCATCAACAGGATATGCCAGGCCTTAGTATGCACTGGAACATTTGGCTTCAAAGAGGAGAATGCAGATTGCTTCAAGAGAACTAGTGAAGCTGATCTGCTGAGCAGAGAAGGAAACTGGGACTGTGTTGATTGAGTGGCACCGATACTGAGTGATGAAACTCAAGTTTTTGCTTCAAGGCCAAATTGTTCTAGACTGGCTTCTGACCAGGCTTACTGGAGTCCCCTGGGATGGCTTTAGCAGCTGGCTTTTCAGGTGTTCCCCCTCAAAGCTCACTGGGTCCAGGTGACAGTTCCAGATAGACCTAAAATATCATGTTCAATTCCTGCAGCATAACTTCCTGCTACATCAGGGGCGGGCAAACTTTTTGGCCTGAGGGCCACATCGCGTTTTGTAAATTGTATGGAGGGCTGGTTAGGGGAGGGGGTCATGGCCCGGCCCCCACCTCCTATCTGCCCCCTCCCGCCCCCGTTCCCTGACGGACCCTTTGGGATCCCTGCCCCATCGACACACTCCCGCTCCCTGTCCTCTGACCGCCCCCGGACCCCCGCCGCCCCATCCAACCCCTCCTCTCATTCCTGATGGCCCCCCTGGGACTCCTGCCCCATCCAACCACCCCTTCTCCCTGTCCCCTGCCTGCTCCCCGGAACCCCTGCTCCTGACTGCCCCCTGCTGCCCCATCCAAACCCTGCTCCTTCCTGACTGCCCCCCCAGGACCCATGCCCCCACTGAACCCCCCATGTTCCCCCCGCCCCCTATCCACACCCTCGCCCCCTGACCACCACCCTCAACTCCCCTGCCCTCTATCCAACCCCCCGCTCCCTGCACCCTTACCGCGCTGCCTGGAGCATTGGTGGCTGGTGGCGCTACAGCCACGCCGCCCGGCTGGAGCTGGGCCACGCTGCTGCCGCCGCCACTGCATAGCACAGAGCACCAGGTCAGGCCAGGCTCTGCAGCTGCGCTGCCCCAGGAGCTCACAGCCCCGCCGCCCAGAGCATTGCGCCGGTGGCAGAGCGAGCAAGCGAACGAGCTGAGGCTGCGGGGAAGGGGGGACAGCAAGGGAGGGGCCGGGGCCGAGCCTCCTGGGCCAGGAGCTTGGGGCCGGGCTGGACGGTCCCCCGGGCCGTAGTTTGCCCACCCCGTGCTACATCCAAACTTCCAGAGGCAGCTGGGCCTTCTTCCTTCCTACCTCTGTGATCTTCAAGAAAAGGACTACATCCTGAAAGAGAAACTGGGGGAAAAAAAGCAAGAGAAAGACCCAGAACACCATCAAGCTCAAAGCCACGTTACATGGAACTAAGCCCCAAATCTTTCAAGAGCTTCCAAAGGGCAAGCTAACTGCTCCAAAACTGGCTTGGAGAAAATGAGATGTTTAGACTACTGAGGCAAACTCTTAATGCAAAATACATCAAAAAGGCATTAGTACAAATTCAGACTCTTGAGTGGTCAAAAATATGCCTCGCTAGACTTAGACTCACTGGACTGGAACTAAGTACTGTACAAAGACAGTGGGTGTCAAGAAGAAGCCTCGTTCTCCATGACTATACAGTCTGGAGCACTGAAAAGATGGGCAATCAGAAAAACAAACAGCTTTGACTACAGGTTACCTGGAATGTTACCAGGTATCCAGGACTGGAAACGGCGGGCGAAGCAGAGCCAGAGAGATAACAACTGGAGGGTCCAAGTGAAGCTTGCTTTGTCAAAAAGAACATGGCTGGAAGATTCTAGTGAGGGCTGTAGTACTGGCAGTTTTTATACTATGTGGTTGAATAGGACAATTCTTGGAATTTGGCTCAATATAATTTTATAAGAGCAGTGTTTATTGTATCTGCATACACGTATCTTGGGCTCCTCTGCATTTTTTTTTTTTTTTGGCAATTTGCCTTGGTATTATATAAATCCAATAACTTCCATTGTTGATCCCGTTTTCCAATACACCAATTATTTGTTAATTCATGTCTTCTGCTGCTAATGTCAGAGCAAGAAGTGGCAGAGGAGATTAGGAACCAGCCTGGAGTAACAAAACATTTTTATGTAATGAAAGTAATCACCACACCATTACATCTGATGAAAATATATAGATTTTCTACAAACATACTTCAATGTATCAAGGATCACTGTGTAACAGCTGAACTGCACATGGACTTGTAAAATGAGTTGAGTTGTGTGGTCCTTTAGAATACAAGAAATATAAGAACAAGAAAAGGCCACCTGTCCCAACATGTCTGCTCTTTATCCTTACGTTAATCAATAGGCTAAAAAGCACTCACATTTAAAAGCAAGAAGGTTAAGAGAAAAAATAAAGATATGGTGGTTAGAAACATGTTACAACAATTTGGTACATTAATTCTGTTTATAACATGACTTACAAAGTTATATGCACTATACTACAGAACTATTACTTAATTCCAGGTATATAAACATGGAAAAAACCTCCAGAAAGATTTATAGGCCAGCATTAATTGTCTAGGGTACTTCACTTACCAAGATGTGTGTTCATCATTTTTGCACAGTATTTGCACATGGCCTCTAAGTCATTTAGTTGTCCTTGGAGAAATGAAATTTGAGTCTCCAATTCTTCCTCCTACAATTGAAAGGATAAGCTTTAAGAAACCTAATATACAATAAAATTGATAAGCAATGCCCTTAAAATGTTTGGAACATTCCACTGGTTATGAACTTATTTTTGCCTATGAGTTAGTCTTGGAAACAACAGAGTTAGGTTTCTTTGTATGTGAAATGGAATCATTTTGACTTCTCTTTCTTTTATCATTCTTAATGATGTCTTTGTCTTTTAACGTACCATTTTTTATTCATATTAGTTGAAAAAAAAACCCCAAACCACAAAACATCAGTTCCCATACAATATTTCATGAAAGGTTAACAATTACATTTCATTGATGGAGATAATAGGATATATTTCTGGATAAATATGTATTTTGGCCTATGCAAACCTAATCCAATGGAGACAGGTCATGAACCTACACAAATTATGGAAATTCACACTGAGCACAGTCACATACTTCAGACATTATTACTATAACCTCCCTAAAAATTCCACCATATTCCATCAAAACACTGGCCTTTTAGCTTAGCCACTCTGAATATTTAGTATAGGCTAAACATATACTTATTCATCATATATTTAGGCATTCATTTTATTTACCTAACGAATCATGCTCTATTTGGAAAAAAAAAATCCTGTATTTCCATGATGGAGGATAGGTCCATCAATGGCTATTAGCTAGTATGGGAAGGGATGGTGTCCCTAATCTCTGTTTGCCAGAAGCTGGGAATGGGCGACAGGGGATGGATTATTGATGATTACCTCTTCTGTTCATTCCCTCTGGGGCACCTGGCATTGGTCACTGTCGGAAGACAGGATACTGGGCCAGATGGACCATTGGTCTGACCCAATATAGCATTCTTATGAAATCTTTAAGGTCTGTTCAGTAAACCTGCATTTAACATATTTTTAAAGTAGATTTTTTTTTAAGACCCATAGATTTCAAGGTCAGAAGAGAGCACTATGATAATGTAGTTCCTGCACAACAAAGGAACCCAGTAATTCCTGCATCAGGCCCATAACTTCTGTTTGAGTCAGAGCATATATTTTAGAAAGTCTCTCAGTCTTGATTTAAAGATGACAAGTGATGGAGAATCTACCATGCCCCTACAAAAGTTGCTCCAAAGATTAATCATCCTTCCTGTTAAAACAAGTTTTTTTTTTTAAATTCACAGTATAGCAGTATGCAAAAGAAGGTCATTTTTGAGCTCCTCCTCTTCCTCCACATTAGGAGGCTTACAGATGTATTACAACAGAGAGTCCTGTGGCACCTTTAAGACTAACAGATGTATTGGAGCATAAGCTTTCGTGGGTGAATACCCACTTCGTCAGACGTATGTATTACAGTCTTTCTTGGCAGAGGTTGTTGGCCCTCAGACTGTGAATTAAGTATTAACAGGAAAACAGCAATGTAGAAGGATAAAACAACCTTGATTTGGCTGCATAATTAATCCTAAATTAATGATTATCAGAAAACTGAGAGCCAGGGCCCAGCAAAGTGAAGGAAACTTGGCAGTCAGATGACCTGTATCCGCCACCAACTATTTAAAAGAAAGTATTTGTTTAACTTAGCATTCTGCAAGAAAGACCTGTAAACGAACACAACTTTCTCAAGCTTACATACCTTCTTTGTCATTTTTTTTATAATGCCAAGTCATAAACAAATTGCTGACAAGTAAGTCAGGTTCAAAATTCGAAATGCTGACAGTGTTAACTAGGCTGCACACTGTTATAATTCTATCCAAAAAATGTAGTACTTAAAGACCTCTCTCTAGCAACTACATCTTGCAATGACTACAGAAAATAATCTACTCTATTTCCTGTTACTGCTTTTGATACTTAGCTACCAGCTTGGGAAAGGAGACTAGATTTGATCATTTTACTATAAACTCATATGCAACTTGCAATAGCAGCATTAACTAATAATTTAAACACAGATGCACATACCAATGTCATTCCTGTGGAACTGAACATGGAAATTGAACTTCTGGTAATAAATAGTTCTGTATTTCCCACACTTCTATCTTTCTTCATATTCATGAATCAAAATCAGAATAAATTGTTTTTCAAAACATTCCTGGTGCAGCTGTGGATACTTAGACAGTAAAATGAAACTCTCCAGTTATACTAAGTACCAGTTAATTTCCTAGCTGAGATTGATAGTAAGATTGAAGAGTAACCAAAGACCTACAATGTCTATGTAACATTCTTGTTTTAACCTGGGAAACATGAATGTTTTTAATGCCTTGCAAACATAAAAATGGAAATTGCAACTAAACATTTTCCTTCTTTTCCAATATTTATAATAAATTCTTACACTAATAGTAGGAGACAAAGCTGCACCAACTCTCTTGATTCTAGTTCACGCCACATTACATTAATTTTTCTGTCAGACTGTTGCTCTATGTTCCTATAAATGCTAACTTTTGCTTTTACGCTTTGCTGAGAACATGCCTGAGAGTTCTTGGATATAATTTCCATTGCTGAACAGCCAAATCATCACTGAATCTGATCTCAGTATTACACATTATCACAGGACTGAGCATGAGTAAGTACTGTAACAGGTATGTAAAATAGTAAGCAGGCAACAGAAGAATTTTCCTGACCCAAAAGCAGATCACAAGGAAATGAGTTATAATGACAAAACACGTAGTAACAAAGAAAAGGCATGGCAATCAGATGGAAAAATGAGGCTGCATATAAAGATTATTTTTTATGGATAAAAGAGCAGCGAGATACCACTATGTGGTAGGCTACAAAAAAATTAAAAATGTGAGAGAAGGAGTTGCATCAGGAATTGTAACTTGTAGGTGCTAAAATGTGTTGTGCTGCTCTCTCAAGTGCGCTCTCCTGGAATCATACACAATGACTGTGCATGACGCCACAAAAAAAATTTATCTGTGAAACACTCAAACTACACAGTGTAAAGCTAGGAAATACTTACATAAATATAAATGAAAACCAAGACATCATACTCTAATTCTTTTGGGAACTGAACTGCCAGCCAGTCAGACTGATGGGGGTGGGGATAGGTGAAAAGGGGTTCAAAATAATTCAACCATAACTCTGTGAAGTTGATCACTTTACCACAGAAAAAAATCTGCTGTCAGTATGAGAAAACTAAATTTAACTAGTTATTAAAGGTTTATAGAATAACAACTGCATTTAGGCATTTATTTTCAACATTTTATAATACTAAATGAAATTACCCACATTGTGTAGGCATTATTCAAAACCACTACTACTGTAGTCAGGCACTGGGGATCATGTTGTGAGGAGGAGAAACAAATCAAACAACAGCTAAATCAAACAAATGAGCCATTGTGCCTGGCTTGGAAGACAAAGAGAAATGAATCTTAATGATGAGAAATACCCCCTCTCCCCCAGCCCTACAACAAATCCTGGAAAATTCAGTCCCAGAAACTCACACCCACATCCTCATGGTTCCAGCCCATTCAGAACTTTAAAGATAATCAGCAACACCTTGAACTAAATCTGAAAGTGAAAATGAAGCAGGTGCGTTTATAACTGATAGGTAATATTGGTTCACATTCCTCTGACAACATAAAATTGACTTAAATTTCTCCATAGTCTAAACTGAGCATTTTTTCTACTATTTCCACATATTATATCCAAACTGTTCTATCTTCTAGTAAGGCTAAACCCTGCAAAGGTGATTCACTTATTTGTGTGTTTCTCATATTCTTCTTTCCTTGTGTCTATATTCAGACTTTCTCTTACATTTGACGATTCCCTTGACCATGCACATTGTTTCACTTTTTGTTTTTGATCCCTCTCAGTTCTTTGCTTTAATTTTGCTTCATTTCCTCTACTTCTACATTTATTTTGCTCCTGCAACTTTCTATTCCCCCACATCCTTTCTGGTTTTCCCACCAATAGAAGGATGACACTGGAAAGTATATTTTGGATTTTTCCTCCTGATTCAAAGACTCATAATAAAAACAGTGGTGCCTGCAGTCTAGGCTGTATCTCAATGAGCTTCATGGGATTCAGGAAAGCTCAGAGTTGTGACTCTAACTGAAATCATTCAAAGACCCTTATGCACATATTACAGAAGGTTTTATGATCATGACATTGTGATCCTAATTTTTCACAGCTCATTGCTTTGCAAGCTGCATTAAGTTGGCAGAAGCTATGTTCAAGGCCTCTGAAACTATGCAGTATATACAATCCAAGATCTCAAGAAAAATGATTTTAGAAGGTGCCACTCTCACCAAAATGTTTTTTTTTGCAATTGAAAATAAATCAGTCTTTTCACAATACATGTATTCTGCTTCTGCATAATAAATATCCAAATATCAAACTGTCAAGGCGTCAAAGAAATTGATCAAAATGCAAAACAAATAGGGCTGTTAGTTCCACCCCCCTTTATGTTATCATATAACCTTCACTTTTGCTGTCCAAGGAACGAAGAGCACAACTATATTTAGTATTTTCTTTGTTATGTACATGTTTAAACTGAAGGGAAAACAAAATATTTTTCAAGAGCTAAAGAAAATTAAATGATCTGATAATTTATCAAGACAGATTACCAAAGACATGAACAGCATTATTTTAATAAATAAAGTTGAATGAATTTGTAAAAGGCTGATATAGTTTCTTGGATCTCATATTCTTTATGTTTTGCAGAAGTTTACTAATCACTTAGAATATTTAGCATGGGAAAAGTCCATCTGCATTACAGCTGAATGATTCTGAATCTGTAGATACTTAGCAGCAAAAAAAAGTGTCATATGCAGAAATGAAGAAACTATCTTCAAAGGGACTACTTAATCTGGCTCATATAAAGTTATTTATGCATAACTCCTTGAACAATAAATTCAAGTAGATAATTACATTAATTTAAGCCCCTCCTTAGATCCTGTCAAAATGGCAAGACAAAATATAGTAGAATTCAAACCTGTCAATATTGGAACATTAAAAGAATATCAAAGGGGAAAAATAAAGTTGGAAACAGGGAACTTACACAAATACATATTCACTAGAGGGTCTTTTTT